CAATGTCCTGGACTGGCACTCCGCTGCTTTTGACTCGGCAGCCAGAACCTTGGCCTCCAAAACCTTTGCCTTTGACTCCGAGACTTGCAACAGCTCCATCTGACAGTCAGACTGCTCCACCAATGAGTGGGTCATCAAGTTTGTCTACAAAAGAGTTGAACCGATCAATAAGGCAAGGAAAGCACAAAGGACGGAGAAGTGAAGTTAGAAATGTACCACCATCAAATGATCCCACATAGTGGCAGCGAGCTTGGAGCGTGGCATCCCCGCATATTTCGACACCTTGGTAGGAAAGACAGCTTCCTTACTCTTGAGAGTGGCAACCTAGGCATAAAAAATGCTTTGGCCCTCCTTGAGAATTGCACCGGAAGCGGCGACCTCGGGTTGGACGGGCTAGGGCTCGAACTCTTGGGCCACCTTGGGCTCGCGAGCTGGTGACCTGGTTCCCTAATCATCCTCGACCAGGTTGATGAAAAGCGTGTCCTCCTTTCTTCTCGGGGCAACAGGTGCAATGGAACTAGAAACGGGCTCGGTGGCTGGGGGTTCGGTGCGAGTCGCCTTCCTCTTCTTCCTTTTCTTCATATCGGAGAAAAGCTTGGAGACAGGGATATCTGCCATGGTACCTGTATCACAGACATAGACTTAGTGAAGAAGCCAGTGAGAACGATAAAAAATTCAAGTGTGTGAGACCGAAGTGGAGACCTACCTAGACTCAGCCCTACATTAACTAATTTCTTCTCAGCTAGGAAGTCGTCCAACTCCAACCTAAGCTTCGCCCAGGAGCGGACCTGTTTCTTCATGTCCTTATCTAGCTTGATGTCGGGGTCACTAATGGTCATTCTCTAGTGCGTCAGAAACGGCCACCCCCAGCTATAGTGACGATAAAATAACGCCTCTTCCTGGCCGAGACGTTGTTGGGAAAACCATACAGGATCTTGTATCTAGGTCGGGGGGTCAAGTAGTAATTACGGTGTTCAGAAGAAGGAAGACTGGTAGAGTTCTTCTTAATAGAATAGATCGAGCTAAAGGTATCCATAGTCAATGGTTTGCCGAAGTGGTAAAACAGAGAGATAGTACCTACTATAGAGCGAACTGAGTTTAGGTGGAGTTGGCTTACGGTTATGTTAAAAAATCAGAGGATCTCACAATGAATGGGTGGAGCGGGAAGCGCAGCCTGACAGTCAGTTGCTCTTTGAATACTACGACCTCGTCGGGATCGTGATCCCAAGGGTACCCTTTTAAAGGGATGCACTAGTTGTGGTCCTCAGGGAATTTATAGTACTCGGCCAGTGTTTACATTCTCTCCATAGTCATCATGGAAGGATAGAAGCAATTTGGCCCCGACCTCCGAGAACTACTGGAGCTCGAGGCTTCCTTCCCAGAGTCTTCCCACTCCCTTGTTTGGGAGTCCACCTCGGGTTAACTAGGCTCAGAGCCATGTTCCGAGGTGCCCACCTTAGCAGGACCAGACTCTATTTCTTGGCCCGAGGAGTCCACCTCAGTCCCACTTGACTCTCTACTGGCATCTAGCAGACTACCAGTGCTGACACTCGACATTGTAATGGAAGGAAAAAGAGTAAGAATGAAGGAAACTTACCTAGATCGGAGAGAAGAGAAGATGACTTCGAAGGAGAAGAACAGGTGACACCAACCTAGAAGCGGACACACAAGCTCAGATCACAAACACACAAATCACGGTGAAAAAATGGAGACCCCATAGTCCCTATTTATAGCTACTGTAGTCGATTTTGGACGGGCAAGATCAAAATGATCTGACGTTTCCCATGAAAACCAGCTACACTCTTCCCGAGGCTGAAATCAGTTGAGTGCGCATTCCTGATACGTGATCTGACTTCCTAGTCGAGCCAGACGGGTCACTGAGGTCAAACCGCCAGGTCGGCCAAGGCCAAATCCACCTCAGCTCGTCATGAATTCCTCGCATCAAATCATGACCCATGCACGAGGAGTGGGGGGCAATTGATGAGGGGTGATTTGGCCTGACCTGATAAACAGAGGACATGTGGACGAAATTTGCCAGCCAAGTGATGACTCAGCGCTTCCGACCACCTCGGCAAATCGGTCATCTTGGGTGTCCCTGTCACCTCGGATCGCCCCAAGGACAGGATATCCCAGATGCCCATATTTTCCAAGGTGACACGTAGCAAGTTCTAGAAGCCTGTCAGTTGCCTCCGAGCCTTTTGGGATAATGCCGCACATCCGTAGGTCTTATCCTCATCCCGCCCGATTCGGGTGGACACGTTGAGGTTTATTGGCCAACACGTTATCCATCTTCCAGAGCAGGACGGACTTCTATTGCTTGGCTGAGGATCTCGGAAAGGTTTCGTGAGGCTCACGGCAGCCCAACTATATGAGGGCATTGGCCCCCATAGCACAAGGTATGCACTATTACTTGTTCACTAGCTATTTGTATTCAAGCATTCAGCTCGCCACTAGACAACAATACTAAGTTAAGCATCGAAGCGACCTCACCGGGTTAGCCTCCCAAGTTCTCTGATCTGCCTTTTGGCAGTCAAAGGTAACTCGCGTAGCGACCAGTGTCCAAGTAACCTCCCAGCTAAAAGCTTCCAGATCACACACCATCAATACGAATTTCTTGTGTGGAATCATGGGCAAAGAATTAGCAGAAACCATAACACTCCTGTAGGTGGTGATTCTTACTCAACTTACAGAAGAAGAGAGACGGAGAGTAATATTAGGTTTTAAAAATTTATACGTCTCAAATGTAAGAAAATTTAGAAGTAATCTAAGACAATATATAAAGAGTAGAGATAGAATTAATCAATTAGATAAACAGTAATAAGGGTAGGTTAAGAAATTTACCCTTAGCATAAAATTGATCCATTTGCAATCTGAAAAACTTAGGTACAATAGCTTTTAACGGTGGATGATAGGTCCACGCCACTTTGTTTTAATCAAAATTTTTGAATGTTTTAGGTGGCTTTAACATCCACCGTATAAAATTTTGAATGTTTTATATGGGTTGTACGTCTTTTTTAAGTCTGAACTCTGAAGAGGATGCGGGTGGCGGGGTTTTTATATATAGGAAGTAATCGATGTATATGCAATTAATGCTCAGTCGTATAGCATTCCTTTATATCAGTAGAGGAATGAAGAAACGTAGCATCAGTAGGAGTGATATAGGCCACGTTGGCTGTGAAAAGCTGATAAGTAGTCCAATTGAATAATAATAGATCAGTTGTTTAATTGAGTAATGCAAAGGGTGGCTCATCCACCACTATCATACCATCATTATCTAAATATTAATTTTTGTAGAATGGAACCCACACTAATGTCAAATTTCATTTTCAAGTATTTGAAAACCTTAAGATGTGTTTGGTTTGAAGGAAAAAGTAGGATAAGGAATGAAAAGATAAGAAAACCTTTATAAATCTTGTGTAAGTTTTCATATTTTTCCCTTCTTTTCCTTATTTTTTCCATCAAACCGAACATAACCTTAAGCTATGTCTGGTTGTATGTTTTTCTATGTAGATACGGAAACTAAAGCAGATTTGATTTGTGGTTGAAGAATATAAAACAACTTACTAAGTTCCAAGAAGCTAGCAATACTATTTTAGAGCTAAAGCTAGAGTAGGATCCACGGCATTCTCTATATAGAGGTTTAGTAGGAAGCAATATGCTGCAATAGAACTATTTTAGGCTTGTGTAGCCCGATCTTCTTTCCAAGCCAGGCTGAGCTGGATGGTTCCGGATGGGCTGGTCCAAAATCCCATCCCGATTCCCAAACTTGCTAATTGGGTCTTCGGGCTCGCATTGATCCAAAAGTTCGGACTTTCTTAATTTTTAGGCTGGATTTGGGCTTACTTCTTCAGAAACCAGAGCCTGACCAACTATATACATTCATATAGATACCTTATTTGCATGTATGTTCATATATGCTCATATAAACATATTTATTTATGTTAAAATTTAGTGTGGGCTGATTGATTAACTGGAGCTCCATCTGTACATATATATTTATGTAAATATATGTATGCAAACATATTGAATGCATGCTTAGATAAATAAATAAACAAATATATATATATATATATATATATATTAGGTGTGTTAAATTTTAATGTGGGATGATTGAATAATTAAAATCGGCCCAGGCCTGAACTTTATTCAAGTACATCAAATTTTAATACAGGCTTAACTTGAACAGATTAGACTTGACCTGGGATTTAAATCTTAAGCCCAATTCTTAAGGTTGGGCCTGAAATGAACTTAAAATCGGCCCATCCAGACCAACTTACACCCATATTGTAATGTATCCGGATCAATACTCCCGTGTTTGAATTTTAAATATAACCAGCTAGTCGAAGTTGAAACCCGCATTTCATCCTCATGTAAAAAATCGAAGTTATTAGGGTGTATTATGGATTGAGGATTTGGGCGGTGTTGAAACTTGAAAGAGAAACCACGGTTTGAATGAAATTTCACGTTCCGCTGTTTTAACTTTTAAACTTTCACAGTTAGGCTACCGAATTGGACAAGCGAATTCCTGAATATATCTATATATATATATATATATATATATATATATATATATATATATATATATGTGCATATAGTATTTTTTATTTTGTATCAAGCACGGTTTTTAAAATGGAGTCGGACAATAAACCGGTTAGGGGTCCGGTTTTTGGTTCGAATTGAATAAGTGGCCCATTTTGATAATAAAAATAAAAAAATTAAAAAAAAAGATCAAACCGTTAAATGATTTGAACGATTCAACTGTCCAATTAATGATTTACTGACCAAATCAATAGTTTTTGGAAAAATAATAATTTTAGGGTAAAACAAAACCGATCACCTGACCAATTCCTAATTTTTTCGGTCTGACCATCCGATCCAGTCCTGTTTTAAAAACCATGGTTTGAAGAGAGGAAATGACAAAACCAGGACCCATGAAGTAGTAGTATCACTTGGTTAGATGCAATTTGTGCAAATATTTATAACTTGGTATATAAAGTAGAAACACAGAAGGAAGAATGAGACATAGTTTTGAAATATTAGCAGTACGAAATTCTCCTTATTGAGGATTCTACCTTTCCTTCTCCCCTGCGTACATATGTGAAAGATGGCTTGGGCGAAAATTGAAAAATAAATAGAACCCAAATGTGGGGAAAAAATCGAGACACAACTCGGGCTTGGGGCACTGATGCAGCTTTGTTCAATTCCACATTGGACAGAAGGGAAAAAATGAATATGTGGTGAGATAAGAAATAAGAAACGGAAGCTTTGTCAAGGTTATACAATTTGAACACCTATACCAACCCATATGTATACATCTTCATGAGTTATTCCCTTGGGTTTGCCGACTCACCGAGCTAGGGACCCCTAACTTCTGTCGCCGATGAAGCTTGTGCGGCCTGTTGGGTATTCTGCGATTCTGATGAAATAAACCAGTACTGATTGCTGTTAGCATGAATATATAAACAAAAACAAAAAGAAAGACGAACTTGAACTCATGATAATAAGATTTGCCATAGATTCAAGTAGCACAAATGACACTTGCAGGCTTGATCCAAGCATAGTAGAGCTTGGACTATCTCAGCCCCTGTTAATAATATATAGCTCTTTATGTGCGTGAGATTCAGGTTGAAATTGAATTATGGTTCATGAAGATCCAATCCTATAAATAATAAGGAGTTGAATCAGGTACATATACGATTCTCCTCATAATTAAGCAAATAATTTTATAAAAAGGAAATAACTTATTACAAAAGATTAAATATTTAGGAAATGGAGATTTATTTATCACAGAACACACCTCAGGTTTTACAAAACATCCCACAATGTATTGAGAACATCTTCCTTGAAAAAAAACACATTAGTATGAAAGATGTTCCAAATATGACTAATACGTGTTATAAGGTTGGTTTGACAAGCAGATCCGGATTCATATTTAGGTTTTATATATAATATATTAGCACGGGCTGCTATTTTTATAATAATAAGTGTAAAGAAGAAATGAAAACAACCCAGGAATCTTCAACTTAGACAACTAGGGATAAATGGTCAGCCAAGACAACTTGTTGCATAGTCAAAATAGTTCTTCAATGTTAAGTGGGACATAGGACTGAGGTGGATTGCATAAATTAAAGGCATTGCATGTCTAAAGGTTTCCTTTCTCTTTCTCTTTGCGACAAACAGACCAAGTTGCTTTTAAGTTTTGATATCTCTTCGCATGGCAGAAATAAGTACTGTGAATTGAGGTGGTGTTGCCCAAATTGTATGATTTTGTCAATGTAACATTTATTATACTATGCAACCTAGGGGTGTCAATGACCGGTTTTGGATTGGATCTGATTGAAATCTTATCAAATTGGATTTGGACAGTTCATTATAATTATTGGATTGGACCAATCTAAAATAAATTGGTTTATATTGTTATTAGTCTGAATTGGACCTAAACCAAATTTCCAATAATCCGATCATAAGGTCAAACCCTTGTTCAATTTGAAACCGATCAAAACTGAAGCCAGCAAAATATCACTTTTTCTGGAAGTACTTTTACGAAAGCACTTTTACAAAAGCACTTTTGTAAAAGTAATTTTATGAAAATTACTTTTACGAAAGCATTTTTACAGAAACAATTTTATAAAAACACTTTACAAACGTAATTTTACGAAAGCACTTTTGTAGAAATACTTTTATAAAACACTTTTACAAAAGCACTTTTATGGAAGTACTTCTATATAAGCACTTTTACGAAAGTACTTTTATGAAAGAACTTTTACGAAAACACTTACAAAAACAGTTTTACGAAAGTACTTTTATAAATGCACTTCTACGAAAACGCTTGCTTTTATAAAAATAATTTTACAAAATTACTTTTATAAAAACACTTCTACGAAAGAACTTTTATTAAAGTACTTTTATCAAAGTACTTTTATGAAAAAAACTTTTACAAAAGTGCTTTTTCAATATATTTTTGTAATTTTTAGATTTTCTTCATTTTAATATATTTTTGTAATTTTTTATATGTTCTGTTTTTTTGTATAATTTTTTATATTTTCATTTGGTTTGGACTAGACCCAATCCGGTCCATTTACATTTTAATAGATTGGAATGGATTTGTTTTATATTAGATTTGATCTAGTCCATTTGTAAGTGGACTCACATTGAATTGGATCAGGCTGGACCAAATCCTGTTCAATTGACACCTGTAATGCAACCCAATAAATTTACACCACGTGCTGGAATCATATATGTAGTTAATTGCCTCTACTTCCATTCGGTCAGTGACAGGTATCCACATACATGAAAAAACAAATATAATGGGACACTTGTCGCCAAGGTTTTTAAAATCGGATTGACAGGGAACCGAACTAGGTCCAGTTCCTGGGTTGAATGATCTGACCATCCGGTCTGAATGCATGGCTTGTTCTAACAAAAGAAATAAAAAAAATTAAAATAATAAAAAAAGCTAAAAACTATTGTCTGAATTGACGGTTCAACCACCCGAGTCAGTGGTTTGCTGACCAAATCAATGGTTTTTGGCCAAAATGTGATTTTAAGATGCAATGGAAGGTGATTGATTCCTGGTTTTTCCGGTCCGATTTTAAAAACACTGCTTGTCAATGGTTGAAAGAAAATGCAAGGGAAAAAGTGCAGCGGATCAAGACTCATCTTAATCGCATATCAAATAGGGAGCCCTCCAACTTGATCATGTAGTCAATAAATTGGGTTCTCCTCCAAACAGAGCCACCCACAAATGGAGATTCTGTGGCATAGGGGGTAAGGGTAACCATAGTTCAATTCAGTTCCAAGGTGGAACCTAAAACCTATTCTTTTGGGGGAAGTGTGTGTTTTTTATTTATTTATAAATATATATAATGCAGATATATGTTATTTATTTATTTATAAGTATATTATTTATATTGCATTTCTGTAAATTTGTTATATTATTTATTTTTTACAAAAAACCTATGATGAAAATAGTTAAAAGATACTTGTATTTTTTGTTTTTTTATTTAAATTATTATATTTTATTTTTTTAATAATTTCTTAATTAAAAAATATTTCAGATCAAATCCGATTCAAATATCCGGCTTTCTCATTGGATTCAAATTCAAATCCATAGCAAGATCCGATCAGATCCAAAGATCTGATCGGACCTACTCTTAATAGTATCATATCATATTCGGATATATCTTGATTCAAATTTGATCTGATCCTTTTCTATCCCTAAATAAAACCTACCCATTTGCTCACCCAATAGTAAGGGGGACAATGGCTCCCCTTCTCTCATTCTCCCTCTTCCCCCTCTAATTTTAATTATTTTTTTATTTTTAATATTTTGATGTCATTTAAATTTTGTTCTCTACTCGTGCACATCATAGGGTTTGTCACTAGTTTTATACTAAGCTATTCTCCTCATTCTATCATAGTCATTCTATGTTTGTCTCGTTTACATATTTAATAAATAGGGTAAAATAAGAAAACTTCCCTTGAAGTTTCTGAAAATCATAAAAACTTCCCCTATAATTTCATTTTAATAAATACCTCCCTTGAACTTTTGAGAAACTTGACAAAAACCTCCATTTCGTCATCTTCCCAAACAGAAAACGTTAGACTGATACATCAGTTTTTTTTTCCAAATTCTCATTCTACCATTTTATAAATTATTTTACATACAAAATTACTGAAATAATCCTATTTTAATTTGACAAAAACCACCTTTAACGGTCATCTTTTAACGTTTTTGTGGAGTTAAAACAGGGTTATTTTAGTATTTTTGTATGTAAAATACTTTATAAAATAGTAAAATGAGTATTTGGAAAAAAACTGGTGCATCAGTCTAACGTTTTTCCACTGAAAATGTGACGGAAAGAAGATTTTTGTCAAATTTCTCAAAAATTTAGGAGAGGTATCTGTTAAAATAAAACTATAAAAAAGAAAAGTTTTTATGATTGTTAGAAATCTCAGGGAGATTTTGGTATTTTATCCTAATAAATATGAACAAGAGTTTTAATTTGAGTAAAATAGTATGTACTGAAAGCAGTAATCCTCTACTTTCATTTTCTTTTTTTTACTCTTGTGAATAATTGGTCTTTGCGTCGGGACTCGGGAGGAGTGAGATTTGAATAAAGTAAGCACATAATCCGCTTTTATGGTCTACTGCTGGAGTAGAATGACTGACTGTGAATGTGTGATCACAACGACTCAGACTCCATAATACCATAGCATATTTAGCCTAAGTACTCCCTTATATTTCTCCTTCTGCCTCTCTGGCATCAGTTTTCCTAGGTCATAGTCGTCATACATAGCCTGAGTTGAGAGAGGGCTCATGTCACGTGGTCCGGTGGTCAGGCTTGGCCTTGTGACTCACTGAGTCATTGGCTACGCACAACATCCAAGCAAAGAAAGGTGGTTATTAGTTGGTTACTCACCGGCCGTTGAAGTGGGTTGGGTTGGCCTCCGCAGTAACTGTGGTGGTGGTGGTGGCGGCGGTGGAAAAATGGTGGGGGTGGTGGCGAAGGATCCGTCCCCCTGTCCCTGTGCAGGGTAGTGGAGATAGGAGGGTCCCTGGGGTCCTGAAAAAGGAGTTTCCCTGCTGGCCTGCACAGCATACCCGTAGTAGTACGATGGACCGATGGTCGACGGCGACGTCCCGTACATTTGATGGTAGTACTGTGGGTGGTACATGCTCTGTCCAGTGTTCACCATTTAATCCTTTCTTAACCAAATCTTAATCAATGAATTAAAAAAGAAAACTAAAATCATAAATTAAATTAAGCATCATATGATGCCTCAAGGAATACTAACTTGATGGTATCCGTAATCCGCTGTGTAGGTAGAGTACCTGCAAATTCATTAAACCTATCAAATTAGAGCTTTCTTGATCGAGACTGTAAGCCAGCTTGGATGTATGTTACATCAATTCACCAAAAAGATTCCAACCGAGCCCCATATATTAAATTCTTTTCTCTGTCTTATCCTCACCCAAATAGAACAGAAAAGATTGGGGAAAACACCAGTTTGGCCTAATCTGGGTAACTTGATATAATTGTCCTTCTCCCAGGCCGGCCAGCCACCACGTGAGGCCGCATCTGGTGACTGTCCGATTGGAATAAATTGACTGGTGGGTCCCATCACTTGTTCCAAAGCAGCGATTATCTGGAGTCAGTCTCACGTGAGGCCGCCGGAAATATACCTCATGCCAAAACAACTCAAGAATTTCTCTCTCGAAAATTACTACCTGGTTCCCCAGGCCAGTCCCCACTCATGGCCCATACTCTCACTATGCACTAGAAGCTATCTTTCACATCCATCAGAGTGTATGGGGAAGCTGTTATTTTGGTAGCGTTCGTATATATAAGAAACTCACCCGTACGAAGGATATATAACCGGAGGGGGAGGGGGTAGGGGCGGTGGAGGCGGAGGCGGCAGTGGTGGTGGTGGCGGTGGGAGAGGAGACAGTAGCGCTGCTGCAGCTCTGTTGTAGGACGATTCACCCAAAGGTCTGCCTCCATGGTAGGGACTTCCTCCTTGATTTCTCGCTGTATAAACTAAACAGTAAACACCCCACCCCTCCTCCTCGTTAAAAAGAAATATATAGTAGTTAAAAAATAATAATAATAATAAAGAAGATAACAAGTAGTCAATAACAACCATAATCAGAAACTACCTCTGGGTGGGGAGATTCGAGGGCGACGAAAAGAAGCAATGTTGCAATTGGTCCTTCTCCCATCGATCACAGGGTTAGGATCAATACAAGCCCTCCTCGCCGACTCCGGATCACGAAATGTCACCTGCCCCATCATCGCTTTTATTTCATTTTTTATAGAGAAGCTACAAACTCAAATCATTGACTGAAGAAGAAGAAGAAGAAGGACGACAATGTGTCCTGTCTGAATAAGAGAAAGGAAGGACTCACAAAGCCGTATCCTTTGGACCTGCCGGTGCTCTTGTCGGTGATGATAACTGCTTCAAGAATCTCTCCAAATTGTTGGAAGTAACTTCTCATCTCTTCTGTTTGCGTCTCCCAGGCTAACCCACCTACAAACACCTTCCTAAATGTGGTATCTCCGAATTGGGATCGATAGTGCTGGTAAGCCATGATCTCTAAAACATTAAAACAACAAAAATTGGGCCTTTCCCTTCATGCATGAATTCTTCTCTTCTTCTTCCTCGCTTTCTCTCCCTCTCTTCTCGATATATTCCTTGTGGAGTAGTTCACAGAGATTGAGTCGCTTCTTCTCTTCCACCTCTTTTTCTTCTTTGGTTGTCTCTCTCTCCATTTCACCTCTTTGACAAAGAAGCCAACATTGAGACACCCAAACGAAACAGAATTGTTGTTACTGATGGTGTTGGTTGTGGCGTACTGATAAGGATGTTTGAGTTGTTGATGCTTGAAGTTCGATCTCGATCCTAACAGAAGAGCAGAGGTTTGAACTTTCAAGTTTAATTAAATGGAGAGAAAGAGAAAGGAAAGAAAGGAAAAGGGGTGATGGAAATTGAGTTGAAGGAAAAGGAGGTCCGACAACTGCAAACGCTTATTTGCTGTCTCTGAGAGGGGGTCGTTTGGATGTCTCATGACAGCTGCACAACTACGCACTCGCGTCTGTCCTCCCTGTCTCCGCATTAATATAGCCCCGCCCCCCCACTGGCCACTACTATTTTTTCATCGGTTCGTTCTTCTCTCTCTCTCTCTCCTCATCCTCTTCTGCACATCTATTTCTTTTGTCCAGTTCTTAACTTCATAAGAACCACATCACCCATTACTCTCATGGATAATTGGATCATATTACTTTCCTTTTATTTATTTTATCTGAAGAAGCATGAGTCCCAGCTCTAAAATCAATTGACCCATTTAAAGATACATTGACAATCGTATTATGACGACTGGATACTTGAGGTGATTTGATTGGACTCATCTATGGTATAAACATATCTCTTCAGATGGAACCCACAGATTGAACGCTTCAGATGGAGGAGGTGATAGGTGCATTTATAAACCTTTTGTATCCCAAGTCTCCTGGAGTAAGCTACACCGTCCGATCAACGGGTTGCCCTTTTTCTTAAGTAGCAAAAAATGGACTGCCTCTCTAGAGGCGGCAAAATTCTGTGCGGGTTAGGCTTCAATTCGGATCCGATAGTTCTGCTGGAATAAACATCACAGGCTACAACTCGAATTCTTAACAAGAATTAATAATCCTTTAATTAACCAGGAAGTGTCAATCCCAAATTCCCAATCCAATAATGCTGCTTCATCTTATTTGTTAACTAGAGTAGCCCTGCTTGGACTGATGAGGGAAAACCCGTCAAACTCAGCCCACTTGTGAATCAGAGTAAGATAACGGGTTGGGGTGAGTCTCAGTGGATTGGGGTCGGGTGAAGAATAACCACCATCACCCCTACAAAAAAAAAAAAAAAGAAAAGAAAACAAATCTCTTTCATTTTATCAGTCCAATAACCACATAATCTTTTGTATTGATCTGAATGGCCATGCAATTTAGATTATGTAATATGGTACAAGAAAGGAGACATATAGATGGAAGAACTTTGATGGGTATGGCCCATAAATGAGTTGGGCTTACTAGCTAGTTGATTTTTTTCCCTTTTTTATGATCCATATGGATGAATGATCTGCCAACCCACAAAGACTTTAGGTCGAGATGAGAAGCCAGTTTTCATTATAAATTTTTCTTTTATCCTCATTGAGCAACATAGTTAATTTAAGCCCTTCTTTCTAATGGGTGTCCATATTTAATTCTCATCTCTGTGAAGACAGAGATAATTAGATTAACATAGGCATTGTTTAGGGAATAGTAATAGTTTAATTTGTCAAACATTCTCAAATGGCCTCTCCTTGCCAAACTTCTAACCATGGGTTTTTTCCATAAATTAAACACACAAAAGAAGAAAAGCAATAAACAATTAGCCCAGACAGTTGTGATGATCCAATCAAGTTCCTCCAGGTCATTGGGAATCATGTGCAACCGGCGGGTCTCCGGCGATGAATTTTAGAAAACCAGAGTGTTCATCTTACAACTACTATGATTCGTTAAGAGATGGATCAGAACACCCAAACTCTTTGGAGGGGGGGGGGGGGGGGGTGGGGGTTGAGGACTTGGAAGGATTCTCGTCCTAACTGGACTATGGAAATTTGCATCACTAATTTGTCACTGCCATGCTGTAAAGTCTGCTATAAACAAGGGATCGTGCCTTACTGCTCACTTTTACTTAATTTTTGCTGCAAACTGCAAAGCAAATGATTCAATGGAACTAGGCTTCTCAGCTGAGAACGCTGATTAAAATTGAAAGAGTGGGGTCCCAGCCCCACCATGAATGCCCATCCAAGGATGAAGAATTGGTATGAGTGCGATCATAAATTAAATCGTCGTTAAGACATAATGGTAAATGAGAAAGAATGTGGAGTGTGGACACGAGAGGCGCACTCGCACATGTAAACGCTGGTACACGCTCAGAGGCAGAAGGGGGTCGTTGTCTTAGACTCTTAGCTTGTTGCCACTTGCCAGCGTTAGGGACGAGGAGACAGCAATAGGGATTAGAGACCCCTTGTTTTATGACCCCTCTGGGAGTCCGTGAACTGGCAGTCCTCTCCACGTGGGGTCGTGTCACTCCTTCAGGATAATGAGCTGGATTTCATCTACTTCTCTCCAGCGTTGGATCTCTCTCCCTCTCTCTCTCTCTCTCCCCACTACTTTGTGCCCCTCTACCTTCTACTTCATCATCCACCAATCAATGGCTTATGGCATTTAAGGCTGCAATCTCTTTTTCTGCTGGGAAACTACTAAACATCCTGGCAAGTGGCAACCCCTTTCTTCCCCCTCGTCCCTGGCCCCTTCATTGTTTGTTTCAATTTTTAAGCCTTCCACCGATGCTTCAGTTTCAGTTTATATGAAGAGAGACGACTCACTCTAAAAGTCTATAACCCCAATACCCTTCATATTTTCAGGATTTAGACTTTGTATAAGATGGAGGCCCACCACAGTATTCGCCACCTTGCATTGAATAGTATGGAGAAAATCACCTATTTCCTTGTGTAAAATCCGTTCCTGAAAAAGAGCCCATGGGCTTGAGAAAGGGGTCGCCAAATCCAAACTCCAAAGCACTGATTTACTTTACATGGGATGTAAATGCGGCTTAACACAAATTTTAGAGTGTGTCCTGTGTGACCTGTGCTTTTGCCCCACTTGGGTACTCGACAGGGCACTCAGACTCATTAGTTGCGGAGACAAGAATACAGGACGACTGGGCCGGGTCCCATAGCCGATGGCGACCATGTGGGGGAACTCTGACCTACAGTTGTATTCACCCAGGGTCCGTCTGTCCTTGTCATGGTTTTTGAACCCTTTGACCCGGCGGTCGGACTGTTCTGCCCGAAAATCATCCAGGCAATCATTCGGTCTCACCCCTGAACTGTTCCTTTGATCAATGATCCGTTGATTTGAGCGATTGAAACATTGATCCATTTAACCCAAAAAAACGGTGTTTGGATGTTTTTATTTTAATTATTCTTTTATTTTTTAAATTACAATGAACCATTTATTCGGACCAAATGATCAAGGCTAAAGCGGTTCCGATTTCCGAATTGATTTTTAAAACATTGATCCTTAATTTAGGGCCGCGCCTCATTGTCCCACCCAAGTTGCATGAATACAAAAGGTTTTATGTTAAAATTTAGAACCGGTGATTTAGCTACTTTAATTTACCACTCATCTTATTAGCGCTGGAGAATTAAAAGATGGTCGGCTGCGAGGTGAGGTGATTGTCTAAAAAAGAAAAATAAATAACTAGTCGATTTTTGTTTCTTGAAATCGTTACTCAACTGAGTATATACGTACCATTTTATTTCTGCATCGCTTCTTTAGTAAGGGTACACGGTGCACCTATAACAGATCTTGAACCAGAATAGCAAAATCAAAGCTAAGAAATTGAAGAAATGGATTAGGGCCCACCGTAAGGTGGGTGATGGCAATTGGCAAGTGGGAACCGCCCGGAATATATTTGTGTGTATACTTAATCAGTTTGCATATCCATTCATTCGTTCAATTGGTGGACCATTTTGTGGGGTGGGCAACAAAGTCAAAACAAAAAAACCTGAACCATTAACCAATTGATGATAACATAACAGCTAAATATGCCTGGGTAAGAAGAGAAAAATAAATCAATCAATAAGTCCAATTGCTGATTAATAGAAAGAGCCCACGCGTCTGAGTGTATGTCATCCAACAACTGTTGAAGGATATCAGTGAAGCCAGCCCTATTCAAGGTTCCGATCCTTCTGATCACATGATTCAACTTTCCATGATTATCAACTGCATTCTCATTCAGGGTTTTGATCATCTTCAGAGCTAGGTAGCAAAACTAGATGGGTTCGTTCGTTATTAGAGGATGAAGAAAGAAAACAAAAATGAGTCACATGAGTTTGTTTGTTGGTTAGCAGGAGTACGCGTAATGAAGAAAAGAATACCAAGAAGGCAAGAATCAAAACACCCTGATCATCGATGTTGAAAAGTTGAAATAAGAACAAATGTGCAACAGGAAAGAGCCAAAACAAAAGACGTTCTAAAATAATAGCAAAATCTAACAGTTTTTGTGGGGATCACCCATCATCGTGCATGATCCATTTGCTCATCCCTCTTCACAGTCCGATTAGTGTGGATGTGTTGAGGAATTAGTAGAGGTGATGATCACGAAGCACCTCTCCCTCTGGACAGAGAGAGACTTAGCCTGCAACTGCAAGCCAGTGAAATAACCAAGATTTTTTTTTATTCAATAATATTACGGATGATTAACAGAATCGTGGGCCTTTTCTTCAAACTGAACCGATTCTTTTCTTTTTGGAAAACCGAAAACTGAAATCAATTGGTTAACTAATTCATCAATTTAGGGTTCATTTGGTTCGTAATTGGAATCAGAATCAAAATCCTCCAGAATTGGAATCGAGATGGTTCATTCCCATAATCTGTAAATGGGATTCCAATTCTGCCCAATCAAACAGTTGGAATTGGAATAGTCCATTCTGATTCCAATTCCAAACCCTTATTCCAGCAAATCAAACGGACCCTAGTGGTTATTAACAAAATATATAATATATATACCAGATTTTTATATTGGTTAACTAAACTCAAACTAACTGGTTCAGTTAACCGGATTTTTTTGGTTCAGCTTTTCCATTTTCTGATTTTTCGGCTGTTGATGAGCAACCCTAAGTAATGCTGTTAGAGAATAAAAGCCAATTTGAATACCTCAGCTAACAACTTAAGATTCTAGCTTTGAATGATTGTTTGAGATTGTATCAGAGATTTTTACTCAAGTGGTCTAATGTGTTTGATCCTTGTCACTCCATTATAGTTAATCAAATTTCAAAACAAGGTATAGGCTATAGGGGGCTGTGTTTATCCATGCTTAAAGCCCAAAGGGCTTTTACATGAAGGGACATGTTAGAGAATAAAAACCTATTCAGAGACCTAATATGCTTTTAAGGTCGTGTTTGAGAGTGCTTAAGTTAAAAATAAGTGCCTATAAGCGCTTAAAAACAAGTGCTTATTCGAATAAACACTTATTTGCATTCGACATCCAACTTTTTCAAGTGTTTATTTTTTAAAATAAGCACTTATTTTATATTGGCTGGCGGTTGGTAGTCTTTTTCTCTAATAAGCATTTTAAATA